AGTATTTGATGTAAAACGTTTTTACTGAAAAAAAATAAATGTAATATTGATCGATGAACTAGCTCATCGCAATACTGGAAACGAGACAAGACAGGCCGTGACCTATTGCCATGCTCGAACAGAGGCAATGCTGGCAGTTAGTCTTGGCTATCGCGAGGATCACGTATGAGGCCAGAGGGTCGAGATTGGAGTAGAATCTACGCGATCCCGAATGACCACCTGGTCTGACGTTGCCGCAATTCTGCGATGGAAACGTTGCGTAATCGAATCTTATTGACACTGTGAGTCCAGCCATGGAATGACTAATCCATGAAGCAGTAACGATTAAAACGGAAAATTTGAGTTTCCAGTAAAACAAGATGCAATTTTAAGTAACGTTTTCTCTGTTCTAAAATATTAATCAAAACAATATTTTTTAGAGATAGAATGAGACGAATTTTAATATTCATCGAAAATGTTTTGTAAAAATTCTCCTGTTTATTTTATTTAGTACTATTTGGTATATGATGTTTAGTGAAAGAAAAACTAATCGACAAGAATGACAGAGAACATTACATAATTATGATTTAGGATCAAAATTATGTACACTTAGATATTCCAGTGCACATTTGCAATTATCATAAATGCGGAAGGAAGACATATTGACTAAACGATGATGTAACGCAATGTTCTGAACAGATTCAATTGCTATTATTGCACACAATTTATTACTCAACAAACGCTCATCGCACCGTTTGCGATTATGATAATAGTTTCGCGAATTTCGCCAATTCTACTGCTACTCGTTGCTGCCTTTTTTGCGTCGGTGACAAAACAGGAAAGGACATTGAAATGTAAAGTCAGGTGACGTCAACGGCAACGTTATTCGTGCGGTTCGACAACGGAAACATGCTACAGATATAGTTGTCGAAGTTATTATACTAACACACTCAACGACTCGCGCCAGTTACATCATTGGGTGAGCTATCCGGATAAGGATTCGACATAATTGACCGAGACGAGGGTGGGGAAGTTATACGATCAACGGTTAATTGCGTCGATTAAAGCGTCTAATTGGCAATTCCTCGATTGCCCGATCGGCTGTTACGAGAATCAGATCTGGACATGGAAGGACCCAGTTTCCTCGAATGCTGCAAACTTTTGACCCGATACACTTTCACCGATCTCCCGTTAGTCAACCATAAAATTTAGTCATCAGTTTCGCGTGTTAGAAACGCACGACGAAAATGACACGAATAACATCTAACGATATCTTTACGAGTCTTAATAAAGTACCTGTCATAAACTGAAATAACCAGCTGCTGATTAGAACAAAGATTTTACGCGTGACATTTACGTAACGAAATTACCAGCTCCAGATTAGAACAAAATAGATTTTGCAAGTAACATTTAAAACTGTTCGCAGAATTTGTTGCGTGGTAGCATTTTACAAGCGCAACCATAAACGGCGCACCGGTTTATGCTCCATTTTACGGCAATAAAGAATGACAGATAGAAAGTTAACGGGTTAATTTAATTCTTTTTCAATTATCAGATCGCACTCAACGTCGTAATAAAAGTATGGAACACCTGCTCCAAAGACTGTAGATGTGCTTTCTAGTTTATGAAATCGTTTCTTGAAGCATCGGCATTCATTACGAATTACTGCTTGTATAAATTCTCAAATTAATGTGGAGGCATTATGAACGCTTTACGACACGCTCCTTTTCATTTCAAGTTAATGGCATGGGTTAATCTTATCAACATCTTGTTTATAATTAAATCGTGATAAATAAGTAATGTATAAAGAAAGATTTAAGTGATACGTCAAACTTCAAATAGCTTTCCCAATTATAAATAAATATTGTAATACATTGATTTTATTTGATCTCTTAATCGCAACCAATCGTAAATCAATTAGTCAAGATCATGCATAAAAAAAGTTAATAAACTCGAAGAATTAGACTGTTTGTATTGTTGCATTGATTGGTTAAGCTATTTTTATTGTTATGTAATAACTATGAACGTTTTATTGACTTACCTTTATTGGCTTGACGACATCGTAGTGGCTTTCTTGCACTCTGGAATCGTAAGGAGTGCCTAACACCGAGTTCTGTCTCCTGCAAAGATTTTTAACGAAATATTTTCCATGCTTTAGCTGCCTTCGTCTCATTTGTAAGTAAAAAGAGAGAATTTATTTTAAGATATGTCTAGTACTGTACAATTATGAAACACGTAGTTTTTCGCGAAAAGATATTTGATCTAAATTATTGTCTAGGTATTTTCATAAAATAAGTACTTCCTATCTCATGCACGTGGATTACATGATTATGTACAGATTATTTGACAACCAGAGAATGTGGTCGCGGTAGCGAGAGAGTTAATTAAAAATCGTTGTTCAACTATAAATAGTAAACTTACACAACAGGCTCCGATCCATTGATCGTAGGCTTCGGCGACTGGATACCAGACCGAGTAGGCGCGCTCGTGTGAACAGGTGAAGGCCCTTTACTTCCCAAAGGTTGTTTTAAGCTGCAACCATAAAAAAAGAATAAAAATAGTCTTTAATTATGATCAAGAATTCTTACATGGCCGCATTCCGAACGTGATTATTCCCTGGTTTCTTAAAAATCCTTTATAACCGCCAAATTGATAGATTACCTACATGTTGAAGCATCTGCTGTTTAAGGCAGAATTTTCACGTCGTTTAAAGTGGCTATTTGGCATCGAGCGTACTGTTGTTCCCGTGTTGGCAAACGTTTAGGGGGTCATCGGTAATCAAGATTTCCTTCGGAATATCATGAACAGGGTACGATAGGGGTTACAGGGGTCACCCAAGGCATTGGCTATTATTCAACCAAGACATGATTTATGGATGCAAGGCATACCCCATCCTTAGATGAGGAGAAGGCTTTGTTTTCAGCATGGGAAACAGTATAAGATTTACAATTATTATCTTATTTGCGTTGATCATAAAATGATTTTAATAAAACCAGATGTCTATTTCTGAAGATTAAATTACTTCTTCTTATCTATGTATATGCAACTGAAAATTGTTCTTAACTATTTATTACTTGATGTATGCAATTTTTTAGTTCATTTTTACATCATTCTTTAATATTTATTATAAGCGTGTGCTATGATACCAATTTGGCTTTCAATTTCTGGAATGATTTGAAAGTATCGAACTACCTTCACGTAATTATGAGACGACGTACGAAGAACAATAGTCGCTCCGTTTACAGCAGTCACGTGCAACAGGCCTTGCGGAATTTACAAACATTTTCTAGGTCAGTGTTAAACCACTCGTATCGAATTGCTACTCGATTTCGGACTCTATGCGTTCCGTTATAATATGTACCACTGTAATTTTCCAGTACAGAGTTTCTACATATTAATGCAGAGAATTAGGAGCTTCATTTTCCAACGTACCAATCACTCTGACAATAAGAATCAACGCACATATCGATTACCTAAGGCGGAAACTGTTCATAATTCATCGTATTCAAAGCGAACGAACAACAGGATCTAAATTACCTATGTTAAAATCAATTCCAAGAATGAAACGACAATTATTCTAAAAAGTGTATGAGAAAATTGCAATGTCTATTAATAGTGTAATAAATCATGTGCATCATAATAAAATTAATGATAAGCACTTAGAATTTCACCCCGATAGTAACGTTTGTACGCTTCATAAATTAATTGAAATAGTATCTTGATAATGTGTCTGAATCTTTGATTTTTAATTCAGAGAAAACACTTTCCTCAGTACGTGTTTAGTTTTGTGTAATCGATAATAGAATCTAATTTCTCCTATTCGTACGCAGTAGATAACTTTAATTGGATTACGTGTAACGTAGCTTAAGGTGTTGAATTCTAAAACAACCGAGTTTCACTTGAGCTACACTTTCAAACTAATATTTAAATAGATGAACATCGGAGATAAAAAAAGAACAATTTTCAATGTACCGATTGACACAAGGCGGCGTAGAAGCGGCACTCCTCAGGCTGCACGTACTACTGTGGCTGCCCTGTTTTGTATAAACCGGCCGATTGCTCGGCGTTGGTACGCTGACACGTTCCGCGATCCGAAATCGCGGTACCGTCGGCTTATGGTAGATCATCCTGAAATCCCGGGGTGTATCCGAGTTACGAATTACCAAACTTCCTCGCTGAACGGAAACTCACACTCTCATCTCAGATTGACCGCGTCGACCGTGACCACGGGTTGCAAATTCCAATTCCGATCGTTCGTCACAAAAGAGCCACCACCGTGCACACCGTGGACGAGCTCGAAGTCTCTCGAAACGATCGGCGAGCGTTACGATTTGACCGCGTCGGAAGTCGCGGAATTTAAAGCGTCTCGCGTCTTATTTAGGGATCGCGATTAAGAACCGAATGGAATGCCGAGACCGCGACGAACCGCCTGTCTATCCGTCTGTCCCTCTGTCCGTCTGTACGTATGTACTTCGCGTTGCGACACGGCGGTGAACACGATGCTGCTCCGGAGGAAGCCCGACGTGGAGTATCGCGAGGGAGCCAAGCAACGATTTCGCCCGGCCAGCGGCATTAGACTCGACTCGGGCTCGACTGCCCGTGCCCGTGGTACCCGTCGCGTCGACCGGCTCCGCTCCGTAATAACAAAGCGTATCGCGACCTATCAGAGGCTGTTTTGATTCCTGGCTTGCCCCCGCGGTTGTACACGATCAGCTGTGCCTAGGCAATGCGCGCGGAAAGAGAAGTGCACGCTCGTAGAAACGATTTGCGGGTTTGTTTACACCGTCGCATTAAAGATTAAGTATTTATGAACGTAGTGCATTGCGTATAGACCTTCGTACTCGAATCGCTGCATTTTGTATGGGAAATTTTCGGGAAATCGTTTCATAATTATGCAAATAATGTGTAAATTACTGTTCAGGATAAATTATTAGTTATATGTCTTCCGTTTATACGAAAGCTTTTTATTATGAGTAAAGATTTTAAACAGTTTTCATCTATTTTTTATAGGACAATGTATACAGATATTAATAAAAAAATATTAGAGAATAAAGTACTTTACAGTAATGGACGTAAGGAAAGTTTCTTTAGTACGAAATTATCTTTATGATATCTGTAGGTATTCGTCAGTCTTGATATGTACTGAATTTTACAAGAAAGTGATAAGATTCTCAATATGATGCGCAAACTTTTATATCATGCACTTCATATGTTGAACCACATGCGATATAAAAATTTAAAGGAGAGATTTCTATAGCATACCGAATTAATACACGGTCTGAAATAAGTTTGCAATAATAATTTTTTGCAAATTAACTTTCATCATCATAATTAAGTTCCACCAGAATCATTAAGGTGGTTTAGATTCTATCTGGATCGTTAAGTTTGAGTTTCTCGTTTGAAATTAAACAATTAAGACAATTTGTGTTGATAAACTATCATTAAAAGATCATATAATATTCGTCATTAAATATAATATCATTCACTGTAATTATACTTATTAAAATTATTTGATGCTAGATTTTAGACTTAAAAAATTGTAAATTTTTCGTAGATAAACGCCTACAATCTATAACCTGGTATTTAAAACGCCTTTTTCCGAACTTTCTAAAACAGGAAAGTGACACGAAAGGGGGTAAATGATCCGTTTTGGAGGAACCACGACGGGAAACATCTGGCAGACGCGGTGGTGGCCCATGAACTAAGAACTAACATGGCACAGTTATTTCTCGCGTTTGATACGACACGCGTTTCTGCACTCGACACATAGAATGAAGTATCCCGCACGAGACCTAGTGAATTTCACAACACGTTGAACGCAATATCATACTTTCCACTGTACACCAACGTGCGAATTCCTATAAATTTATGAACGTCAATAATAAATTTCTTATCTCGCTTATCTGAATAATTGATTCAAATTGATTTCTTATTTAGACTTTTCCTTATTTTATCTGATACAACTGTAATTAAAAACTGCCGATCAAATAGAAATAAAAAATCGCAGAACGTAATGATGGCCTTGTAAGAAATTATTATTGTGACATAATTTTTCCTTTCATTATCAAATGATAAATTACTCAAGAATATTTAAAGTAATATTGTTATTAATGAATATTTCTCTAAAAGAAACTTCATGTATGTACAAGACATTGAAATTAAAAATGATTAATCAGGAAACATTGACCTCAATCTTCAAATCTTTCATACCATGAATTCGTATAATTACAAATAAAATATGTTGCCATGGACGAACAGATGTGCTCATCTCTTCTAACATTACACCTGATCAATTCACCTTGAACCAAACCGAAGTAACCTACTCCCAATGTACTTTTCCATGTAATACCGTTTACAACACCTGCCATTCTTCGATGCTAACGAAGCGGCTTAATTCGAGATGGAGCGAACGCTCATTCCGCGATTCCCGCTGTTTTAATCGACGGAGCCTCGAACAAAGCCGCGTCTGTGACCAATCTCGGCCGGTCACGCGTACTAATTAAGCGTTGCGTCTGAAAGCAAGTAGGTGGACATTTACGATGGCAGAGATCTGTGATGGCGATAAAATGCGACGTGACGCGGTGTGGCAGGAGCCAAGAAAATCCACGAGTGACCGACACCCTCGTCGTCGATCCTCGCAGGAGAAAGCAACGCCCGTGACAATCGCGCGCCGACTCGAACGAATCGAGAACGCGAACGAGTGATATACGTATGTTGCTACGCAAATTTCATTCTTCTACGCTAAATCCGTATTACAGCTTACGCGTTAATTCGTCCTCATGATAATTATGATTTACATACTAAGTCTGACTGGACAAGCTATTTCAGTTAAGTGCGTATTGTATGCAGTTGGTAGAAGTTAATAAAGTATTCAGAAACGATCTGATCTTGCGCCTTGTTGCAAGATTTGATGTATTCATAAGTCATATACAAGCAAGATTTGAAAGAAACGTTTAAAAATAATTGTCGGGTCTTTAAAGCAACATATTGTGTATCGTGTACATAGCAATTTGTATTTAAATAGCAATTTTCCCATAACAATACTTCCATCAGTTCAATTGCTCTTCGCTGTAACGGTTAATAATAGCGCAATTTCGAGGAACGTGAGTAAGGAGTATTTCCCTGCAACTCTAAAGCAAAGCGTAATTGCGCGTGTGGTCATTTAAAGGGATTCTCTGCAAGGAATCAGGGGCAATGAATCATTGAGAACGGCCTCGTTTGTTGAACCTGTTGAAGGATCAAGGACTCTTCTCGTGAGACCCCTATTTCAGCGAACGAGGAACGTAAACTTTACACGCGCTCGTATTTTGTAGCCAACGAAGTGCCGGATACTCGAAACTCTTTTGACTTGCACTAATTCCGCTTGACTTATGCCGCCGACGTGTCAAGCTGATCGCTAACGAGTCTCATTAATGCGTCTATATGTTCCCAGACATAGAATTACCGGAACCTATCTAATTTTTAACATAAGCATGCTTGAGTATTATTGACTTGATACGATTGCCTGTACTTTACATAAGCTTCTTTTACGTACTTTTTTAAACAGTAGTACCAAATTCAATAAATGATTAAAAATAACGTACTCCTAATTACACTATTTATGTACTTGATACAATTTCTTTAATTAAGGGATGATGTTTCGTTCGTTTTTATAGTTCGATCAGAATTGATCTAATCTTAGATACACGTTACTCGATCTTCTTGATAGTTGAGTCACTTGGCTGTTTCTTAGAAAAACATGTAAGCCATGATCTTGTGTATCTTTTAATCGGATGGTTAGTCGATAAGAGGGATAAGAGAAAAGATTGGCTTATTATAACAATGGATCTCAAGATCACTTTCACTAATAGTACGAGCAAATGAAAAATAAGAAATGATTTTTTTCTCTGTTATCACTAATGCTCTAACATCGATCTTCTGATTAGTGATAAAGATTGTTCAATAAAACTAATGCAAACTCCGTGATATTCTATCTCTAACTCCTTTATCTGTTAAGTTCCATTATTACCTTTTCCATAACTTCGATCTTTATTTTTTGCAAACAATTGTTCGTTACTATTCAGTGAATATTCAATAGCAATGCCATTTCATAGCTCGGCTGACTATGCTGTATGTAACTCAACACCGTTTGCAAGCACCTAAGAACTTGACTCTGACAACCACAAGCTTGTCGTATTACGAGTAGTATTATTGTCGCGTCTGGAATCAGTTAACTTTATACACGAGTAGTCCAGGATAATTAGCATTTTGCATGGTGAGCATGCCTCTCAGAGGACCACTGCACCGGTGCGGTGTCCGGTCTCTCGCTCCGCATTTGCATTTAACTTTGCACGTACGAATTCCACGCCAATGGAACTCGAATTGTATTTAGCCACGTGTAAATAACTTTTACTCAATTGTCGTCGACAGTAAGAAAAATTAAATTGAATTGGTATATTTTTGGGTATCAGATTATTTCTTTTTGTACATTTTATTGTATAAGAATTAATATGTAACTAATATGTATATTTTATATAAATATGACATTTTTCCATTGAAATTGTATACCAAAATAGAGCAATGATGTTCGTAATTAAACATACTTTTCGGACAATAGAGAACTATGAATAAGTTTTTTCGATATAACGTCAAGACTGAAAAATTCAAAAAGATATTTGTGTAAATTACCGAAGAGAAAGAAAACTCTATATGTACCACGAATATACACGTCCATCTGCGTTTCATGAGGAATTGACTGATGTGCATGAATGGGACAATAAGACTATAAATATGCAGAACGAAAACGCAAAATGCGAATCGCCGATGGGGTCGAACCGATGACGAGGCTCGACGATCACGATTTCCCCGTGACAACTTGCACGTGCTATTCTCATACATCCGGCATCCGGGCCCTGAACAATGTCAACGATCGGTGCCAATGAACTACGTTACAATTCCACTTTCATTTCTTTGACGCATTGGTACCTACATATATATGTATGAGGAGACGTCATTGAGACTTATTTAGGTAACGAAACATGAATGACTGAGAAATCTGAGATAATAGAAAATAAATTAAATCTAATAAATAAAATCTAAACCATCGTTATTGTTGTCTTTTCTTTTTAATCAAATATAAAAAATGTAGTATAACGATATTTAATTTAATTGAAAGAAACCAACAAAAGTAGCTCAAGGAAACTTCAACTAATATTTAAACACCGTTTTAGTTATCACCGGATGTGACCGATATGGATTTAAGGAAAAGATACACTGTACTTGACATCTCGGGGCGACGGTAATTTTAGCCTGTTACACGACAGTTACGGTGATATAGTCGAGACAGTTTATTCGTTCGCAAAAAGGAATGTGCACGACACTCACGAGAGATGACTACCCGCCGTTACTGATTTATCTAAGACGAAGCTATCTATGTCGTGAGAAAACAGTGTCAATATAACCGGTAACTCTCAAGGAAATCTATCGCAAGTCTCTGGTTTAATAGAATAGAGTGGACGAAATAAAATAAAAGAACTCTATTAGAAATCGATAATTTAAAGAATATCCTATTTTTTTATCGTATTAATCCTTTGCATTTGGAAATATTTAATTTACGTAAATATATTTATTGTATATAAATATTTATATTTCTTTATATTCTAAGTAATTCCTAAATATTTAGCTCTTTTCGTCAATTTTATATTATGAGCAGGAAATGTTAAATATTAAATTCCACGTGTCTATCAATTTATTAATTTGAAACTGCATATCTAAATTTCAACAAGTATCCATAATATAAATTAAGTTTCATAAAATCCTTCATTGCATGAGAAATGTACATTCCTACAAATCCCTTTCTTTTGGCATTCTACAGTTAGAGCGAGGAAATAAAAGAACAAAAGCAAAGGTCATTGTCAGGTCGTCAAAATAATCGCGCTTTCTTTTGTAAGTTTCCTGTCGGGCGCATCGCTATTTCGATCGACGCCACATGCTGGCGTCTAGACCGAACGGGTTATTCTCGGCTTGCGCGTTACTACCATAATAAGCGCGACAAAGGCATTCTCTTGCCGCCATCTCTTAGAGAATGTAGCCAACACCGCACGGTTTGATTGACCGTGCTCTGGCACCGCGAGACGCCACGCGGAAAACAACAGTATTTGTCTGGATTACGTTTATCGAGCAACTCGTTGGGAAAGATGCCAAGTTTAACTCGACGCGACCTACCCCTTTTCAGCTTTTGCACCGCACGTTGATAATTGTTGGCATTTTGGCTAGCGACTAAGTTTTCCTCACTTCTTTGTTTTTCTCTATTAGTCATCCACTCGCGACTTTTTATTTTATATAAAGTCACGAATAACGTAATAATGATTTTCCGATATTAAAATTATACGAACAACGCAAGAGCTGAACACATTTTCTGATTGTACAATGCAATTAATTTCAAAATGAATCACCATTCAATAAAATTCAAAAATTAAATCACGATTGATTAATCGCATTGTACATGCAAATGAAAAGCCTCATTATAGACGAGATTTACTCACCCGTCACCCTGTTGAAGTCTGTTATCGACCACCTGCGGGGGCAGCGGAGCCGACAATTGTCTGACCAAATCGTCCCATTCCCTTTCCCTCTCGTGGAACTTTTCTTGCAGCCTCTGCTTTTGTTTTTGGTACTCTTTGAACAAGTCACCATTGTAACTTTGCTCGAGGTGTTCTCCGCCAAGGGAAGCTCGAACGGGGATTGCGGTGGGTTCCGTGATCTTTGCGGCGACTCCAGTCGGCTTCTCCGCCAGCGAGTCTCTTCTGGAACTTCTGGCGGTGGATGGAGCCGGGGATTCTCTGCCAGCTACTCTACGCTCCGGCGTGGAGGCTGCAGAAGGCTCAGCTCTAATAGCTGTAAAATAAATTTCGAATATTCAAATTCCACATCAAATCTTCCTCCGACAACATTTCAAATAAGCAAATAAATTTACCTTCGGGACTCTTCGAGTGCGTTCTCGTCCTCGGTGGTGCTTTCGGCTGACTGTTCATCGTTGTTTCTTGTATAGAAGGCAACTGCTGGAACTCGGCGTAGCTCGAGCTAAGGAAGACATCGCCTTCGTTTTCGAACAGCCTGTCCACGCTCGTGTTCATCAGCTTGTTGTTCTTGAAACCGGTTAGATGGAAGCTCGCGAAAGAGGATCTTGACATCGGTGTTATATCACCGATGGATAACGCCATCAACGCCGCAGATGGTATCGGAGTATTTTTAGGTCCCGGACTCCTTGGTCCGAGTCCAGCTTCTAAAGCTGGCACCAGACTGCGAGACATCATATCGGCTGCGGACCGCGGTCTGGTAAACGGCATCGCGCTGTGCGGGAAGGTTTTCGGCTTTATGGGTGTGATCAACATGTGCTCGGTCCAGGAGGTCTCCAGGGATGGTCTCTCAAGACGCTCCACGTCCACGTTTAACGTTCGCTGGGCGAAAGGCACTGCGAACGTATCTGGTGGTATGCTTTGCAGCCACGATAGTAAACTTAAATCGGAGTCGCTGAAGCCGACGGAACCGTCTAAAAGCCGAGAAAAATTCATTTCCACCTGTAACAGATTACAAAACACGGTAATCGTTAAACATATGTGTTGTAATAAGAAAATAAATAAATCAGAGAAAAAATTAATGTAATTTATATTTTATATAAGTGTTGTAAGAAAAAAAGGTCAGTAGATACTGCGAATAGACAAAAATATAATTCAATTACCTGTTCGCTCTCCTTCGAGCCTGTAGCTTTGGCCTGACAGTAATTGACACAGGACTCGTACAAAATGCCTTTAATGATCAGCTGTATGAGCCGATCGTTTTTCGCCGAGGTAACCGGATGGGCGGGATCGGTGCTCTTTCTGTCGCCGGGCAGGAACTTTTCCACCAGCGGATGCACTTCGCGGAAGCATTGAACTCTCGCGTTGCTCGGATTCCAGTCCTTATACTGGAGATGGTCCGTGAGCCGTGGCAAGGTCAGCAACAGACACAGGCTGCTGTACTCTTCTTTGGATGGGGCGACCTTCTCGAGGTCGGTGAGAACCTTGACTACCTCCGAGACCGCATTGTCTACACTTCCATTCGTTCCAGCCGCGATCAGGTTCGCCTCGGATTTGATGCACAACAGCTCGACGTACTTGTGCCTGAGGATCGAGTAGGTGAACTTTCTCATGTCGAAGTCGGGCAACGCCTCCAATGGCTGAATGAACTCGAGCACGTCGTCCCATTGTCCGTCGAGGATCAGCTGGCGAAGGAAGAGGACGTCGTCGCTGTATTGACCATTTATCACGCCCGTCTCGCGTTCCAACGAGAGCTGCGAGATGTGAAGGTCGCGGCTATGGAGGAACTCCAACGTTAGTCGTATCACATCCTCCTCGCGCAGCGTCAGGTGCGCCGCCGGCATCACGTACCGAATACGCAACCTAGACAATTTCCAAACCAATCTGTTACAGCCTCGACCTTCTGAATCGAACGTGAGGAATGATAGAAAATTCCACATTGAATAGAATACAAGAGCCAACAATTTCATTGGTATTGTAATCTCGAAAACAATGTAACGCTGTATTATTTATGATTCGGGAAATATATCAAGGAAAATGTTATTAATTACTTTATGATCATTATTATGAAAAGAATTGGGACTCTATGGAGTGATGTATTGAATGTTTAAATAAAAATCTAAATGCAAGTAGATCGAATCGAACGTTGGTGGATTAAATTACATTGCTTTACTATAATTCTATAATATAATACATTGCTTTACTATAATTCTATATAAGTTCAATGTTCGGCGATCTGATTCCCTGAACATAGTATTGCAAAACCGAATAATGGTATGCAGCGATCAAGGAATGTGCGAAATCCTCGCATTTCCAACTTCGTTGCACTTCGAGGCTACCAGCTTTGCTGACACGCCCTGATTGTCGTACGAATTGGGTGAATACATACTTGGCGCACATTCATCTAATATAGCATTCGACTATTAAACCACTCTTCCTCTACGTGAATACATTAAAGTCTAGTAAATCGCGTGCGTTCGTTTCCGTGCACGCGGGTTTACAATTTATACAATTGCCCGTCGAACGATGAAACATCGTTTCTTGAATGAACGACGAGAAAGCCAGGAAACGTTTAATAGATTGGAACGATGACACCGATTTACTAGAAATGCTTTTTACGCGGTGACGATATGAGGATACGGCACTTCATCTTACTTTGGGATCGTTCGGATACAAAAGTTTAAGTAGAAGTGGGAAACTCGGTATTTCGACAATCCCTGAAAAATCTCCTACTTTATATTCCCCCTTAGAAATCGCTTCTACAGATTCGATGCATGAACAGCTGGCGAAGACTACGTAAACGAGAGAAACGGTTATTGATGCCTAGAGAAAACTTTCGACCCCCATATGGCCTGAAAGTATTCATAAAGGTCATTTAAAAAGCATGAATTGGGAATTCTGGATCTTGAAAATCCAATAAAATACACTAAAACGTAAAAATATTTAATAACGTTATTTATACTTTTTAAGAATCAAATTTTTGCTAAATATGCGATGTATATTGGAATGGACGTGAATTTCACAAGTGCCTGACCCAAAAATGAACTCGAGTTGGTTAACGCGCTGGCTTGACAAAAGTGCGTTGCACATTAAATATGTAACATCAGCACCTTTCGGAATTAATTTATGCGTTCTCGGGGACCGTTTCCACCACAGTTTCGATACAACTTCCAAACGGAGAACGTCGAGCAGCAACGATGGCACAGTTAGCAATGGTGAGACTTTGACAATTAACAGACTAATTTTTTTAAATGAACATGAAATATTCGGAATATAATGATATTTTTGTTTTAGCTTCCGCTAGTGCTTCTTCTAGCCAGCCACACGATGGCTGATATCATGGTACAACCCGGATATGGACGTTCGACATCGGAATCGCATTCGACGAAACAACCCATAATGCAGTCATCCGAAAACGACGAGCAATCAAAAACTGAAGAAGATCCTGGTTATCATTTGGAACTGCATCCAGTCTACACGAATTCGTACGATATCCCTGCGCACGCATTGTCACCATTTTATCATTCTCCGTATTTAATTCCGCCAATATCGCGGACTGCTTACAGGCGTTTCCTTAAAGGAAATGGAGTTGTTGAAGGAATTCCTGCAATGATACCACCGCAGTATTATCCATTCATCCCACCGGTGAGTGGCAATACATTTATTTTTCACGGAAATTATATTATTTATGTAGTTGATCAACTTGCTATTATTTTATGTCACTATTATTGAATGTAATTAATTAAAATTAGTGAATCCAGATTTATAGAATTTAAACCGAAATGATATTATAGGAAACATAACATCTGGATGTTTTTGTTGAGTTGTATGAACATTCAATTTATTAACTGAGTAATTTTCTCAGGTAGTACATAATCGTCGCAGAAGATCTATCGATGGGGGACTCGATACTACAGAGCAGAAGACCAAACGTAGTAAGGACGATGATGTGGCCAAGAAGTCGACCTTAGAGAATAACAAACTGTCAGTGTTTGATGCGCAAAGTCAAGATGGTGAGATGTCAATTTAATCAAATGAAAGTAGGAAATTCTGTCAAATAATTAAATAATTGGAATTGTTTCGATAGAGAAACGCGTGAACGTGCGACAAAGCAGTGGTCTGTTTGGTTTGGATCCATCGAACATGTATACATATTATCAGCAACAGACTCCCACACAATCGAATCTAGCGGAATACGACACAAATTCTATGAAAGACGCGAGCCAGCAAGCACGAGCGAATTCTGAGGCAGAGACAGAAGAGCAAATATTAAGACGAAAAGAGGGAAACCCTGTAAAAATTACATTCCCCCAAGTGAACATGGAAAATCTCCAACATGCAATGCTTCTACAACGATCTGCTTCTCAATCAGAACAGCAACAACAAGTGGAACAGAATGGAGAAGAGCTTGCTGCTGATACCAAGTCAACGTCTGATTCCGATGAGTCGTCAGCAACTTCACTTAGCGCCAGGACGAAAAATCATGCGCATCAACATATTAAGGTAACAATCTTGAATTTTAATATCATAGCAAAAAGTATTTGACTTAAAACTTATGTAAAATTCAAAATAGTAAAATTGATCTGGCGGTAGTTTTAACAGAGTATGTAAACTATTAATTTATTATTATGTTTGAATTTAAAATTCACAACGAATTTATAATTGATTCATTAGTTATGAATACTTAAGAATAATCACAATTTTTTTTGTTGCAGTTGTCCGATGGCACAAAGGTGAAAGTGAAGTCTCCGCATCACCAATCCAGCGATATCACAATAAATTATCCATACAACAATAATCAATATTATCCAAACCAGCCAGTGCAAATTGCCCGGACTCCAGTTTACCAAACTGCAGCTTATCAAGCTCCAATCTACAGCACAAGTTACACAGTACCATACGTTTACTACATCACGCCTCAAACTTATTCCCCACTGGTGTACAGATTTTATTGGGGCAACCAGTACAGCCAACCATTGATATACTATATCTGAACGAATCTTGACTTTGTAAATCAAACTGCTATAATTTATATAATTCTATTTATTTTATTTTTGTACGTTTATACGAACTTGCACTTTTTTCATATATATGATGATATGAATTTTGATCAAGTGAAATTCAATTGTAAAATTGATATGTAAGCATGACTGTCAATATTTTTCAATAAATATATAATCATTCATAAGATCTTATACCTTTTATAAATCCTAGTGAATATTATTATTAAACAGAATTTTAGTAACAGATATTTAATTTAATTGTGAAATTAATATATAAATGGTAATAATTAAAAAGGGCAATATACTGTGATAAATGACGCGACCATAAGCGTCGCGTTTATTACAAGCTATCCTACTCCATAAAACGTCGCTAGAGCAGCCAAGTACTGTTACCAAGAGAGTGACACTTAATCAACCTTTATTATACGTTTCAGCATCGCCTGAGTAATTTTAGCACTTTTAGTCTCAGAAGCGATTTGGCTATCCCTCGATGATACCCTGTCAAATGACCACCCCAATTACCCAAGAATTTACTAATTACAGAGAACAGAGCAGAAACAGTTTCCACGAATCTCCGGAATTCCTGGCAAGACATTTTCCAGTGAACTTTCATTTCAGTTTATTCACGCGGTTCAATTAGCCGGTAGTCGTTTTCACGAGATTCCCCGAAAGATTTGCCCGTCATTAAGTCGACCGCCCTATTAATCAGTATATTAAAGCCGAAGGCGACAAATTTTCCTCGAGGCCGAGCCGCGCGACAATCGGAGCGAGCGAACGAAAACTCAATTTCAGACAATTTGCCGGGAGCGTTAATTGACACGAACAGCGAGAGGGAAAATTCGCCGAGTGCAGGACAGACAGGCATCGAACGACTGCGACCGGAAAGGGAGGGTAAACACCGATCGAGCAATTTCTGATTCCTCGTTCCGGATCCGAACATGTGAAATCCTCCTCCAATCGTGAAATGCAATTTCTTCGTAGCTGCGAGATATCAACGGGACAAGCGCGACGGTGTTCGCGCTCGCCGAAAGCGCAAGGCACGACACGATAAGGAAATTGCTCGATGTAACGAAGTTCGGAGACGTACATCGGAGGGTACATGGCCTGCGAGGATGCATGGTTTTGCGATTACCGGGACGTGTATCTGTACTCCGTAGCAAAGCGAGCGAGAACGAATTCTGCATTTACCGGTGAGATTTCCTCTCCGCGTGTCCCGGAACGGAAACGAGAAATTTTCGACAAGGGAACGTTTCGCGAGATTAATTTCCATGGAAAGGAACGTGTCCGATATTTTTTTTCTCGTTTTCGCCGGGCGACTGAGTTCAATTTCCCTTTGAAAAGATGAAAGAAATTAAATCAAACCTTGCCACACACAGACTCGTTATCTTTCCATGAAGGATAACAATTTATTAAATCGTTTTATGAATCCTACTCTTTGAAAGTACAATTTTAATAAAATAGTATTGACGGCATATTACTTTTTAAATTAAGAAAGCGATTAAAAAAGGACATTCATGATTGTATTCATAAATGTGATCCTGTAATGTCAATTTTATCAGATTATGGATTAAAAAAATAACTTGTTAAACAATATAGTCTAAATTCTTTTGGTACAACTTGGTATATGTATAGCTAGTTAGTTTAATTTAATGATCGACATAGATACTCGCCGTTGTCGAAGCGCAAATCGTCTACCCTTTTGCGAGTAAACGAGAAATCGATGTTCGCAGAATCAATGACCCTCGCAGTTGAAAACGAAGAACCGTCGGATATTTTCATCGCTTCCACGAAGCCGTATCATCGATTCCTTTCATCTTTTCCCTAGCGAGAAAGCGAAGGCTGCAAGGGGAGTCTTAGAAGAAATTGCAAAGTGAAGAATTCCCTTAATAAGATGAAGCTACAGCACTGAGGCTAACAAATCAAAATAATTCAAATATTTTTTAAAAAAAACATGAAATAAACGTGCCTTAAAAATAATGAATGTAAAAATATGATTTTTAATGATAAACACGATGAAACATTAAAAGAAAAGAGAGAAATAACGAAACAACGTACATTTTTCAATAAATTTATGAGACGAAATGTACAGAATATATAAATACGAACTGCACTTCTAGTCTCTGATTATATCAGCGCTTAGCACTATAATTGAAACCAACAATAAATTTCACAGAACAGCGCTCACCTCACTCCTTTCCATGATACTATTCTTTGCTCATGTCCCTATATTGTTAAACAGTTTGGCTTCACAATTTCGTTTTAATTACATCGGGATCCTTGTGTGTTCGATTTCAATTGATACAAACGAGCAATTCTGGCGCCGACCGTTGAATAGGTCGTTCGAACCCGCGAGCTTTTCAAGTAGAGAACAATATTTAGAAACACGAAAAAATGAACTACCGCTTTTTGTTTCTTCTTTTTTCTCAAACGATTCCTACAGAGTTGAATGAATGCTTCGCGTTTTGTATAGAAACAGAAAAACTCCTGATTCCCCGATTAAATTTCAAATAAAATGCAAACGAAGAGGATCGTTTGACAAAGAATTTAATTACGAACTGACGCGACGGATATTGTGCATATGCATGTTGAAATGGAGCGAAAAGACTTAATGGCTATGTACGATCGCCGATAATGAATAAATGGCGAAAGTTTCATTAATAAAACTCTCTTTGCGGCTGGCATTATTTAATGAACATCTGTGGGCGTAATTATTCGCGTTGCAAACTAAGCAACTATGGGTTATAGACAATGGTTGTCTGTTCACTTATTAAAATGGTTAATTGATACGAAATCGATGGGGGAAGTGCGTTTATTGAGCGGAAATTGCGAATCGTCCACAAATTGTTCCAGCACGTTTACCGTCGCGTAACCGACCGATACAAGCTCACCGTTATTCTCGTAACAAGTGCTTCTAAACGACTATAATTAGATACTAGTTAAGGGAGGCCGGTGTTCGTCAAACTACCGATCGATATTTCGTCATGACGTATTGTAGGCATATGGAAAATACAAACAATGACCCATAATGATCGACCATGTTTCCATATGTGATTCTCAGTTCACTAAATACATTGTTAGTCATCTTTCTAAATTAATACAGCTATCATGAAGATGGGACAATATTAAAATTGTATTAATAAATATTCAAACAAATGAAATCTAATATCAGTAGAATTGATATTAAATTCTGTTATCGCATAAATTAATTAATAGTTAGACGTATTTAAAAGAAGCATAAAACATTGAAAGCAATACTCGTAGCAGACTTTAGATCTGAAGGAAACAGCAAGCCAGAATGTATTTTTAAATATTCCAAGTCTGCCATAAGTTTTTCTGTCAAGCCGTACCTCATCAAGTATAAAAATAATGAAAAAGATGAAGAGAAGGATTGGAAGAGCTCTTTAACTAGCACTCTCAAACGGAGTTTCAAAAATTCCGATATAGTTGAAGCAGGAAAAAGCGACACAAAGAGGGTGAAGTTTGAAAATCTCTCGGCTAGCTTTTGAAAGCTCCGTCGTTTCACCATCTTTTTCGAAGAAGCCGGCCACCGTTTAAACGTCGGTCCTTTACTATCGGCTTTTCTCGGCTTCTCGCTGCGTTCGCGATCCGCAGCCAGGCTTTCAGACGTCCAGACGTCGCGTCGACCACCCGTGACACTGTTACGTGCGCGCGATTCAAACGGCCTGTTAATTTATTCGATGACTCTCACGAGGGAATCGATATCCGCCTTCCTCGGTGACTAATAAACCGATTAACAGGACGCGATGAGAACGACGGGAAACCTCGATTTTCCGCGTATTTAAATCCTCCAAGTTGGATGATTAACGAGCGTGAAGAGTTATCCTCATTACGGTGGATAAAGCGGCTCGAAAATTCACCGCGTAAAAATGGAAATTAGGATTTCACATTAAAAATATGTAGAGAATGACTCAATAAAAATAGTAATTAAGAGAAATGGTCTATTCTATTAAACATCGCTTGCGATCAATTTTCTATTTGATGGGAGCTATTAAATAGATTCGTTTTATCAAAGTCTATAATAAGTATATCGCGTTACTTGTGATAGCAATTAGTTAGAAACCGACATTTTAGTAATTTGCTACGGAAGCTCCAGAGACGTGGCACCTCACGACGACAAGAGTAGGAGAAAAGAACCGTAGAAGTTCGACTATTCATAACTTCACAACAAATAACTATAAACTGACGAAGCTATCACCGTTCGAAGTTGAAGAGTTACTCTTATGGTAATCAGCAGTAACCCAAGGAAAACTTTCTGGTATTTGGTGTGCATGCGCGAAGTTGGAAGAAACAACTGACTTGAAGAAATACAAGCCTCAAAAGTC